TGTGTGTGTGTGTGTGTGTGTGTGTGTGTGTGTGTGTGTGTGAATCTCTTCAGTTATTTCTCAGCTCTCAGCAGGACTTCAGTTAAGAAGCAGAAGTAACTTTTTCTAACTTGCTAAAAGTTTTTCCATCAGGAATGACAGTCAGTTAAATGTGACCAATGTGTCACAGCTAACATCACCATGGCAACATTGCATAAGAGTAAGTCGTATTATGTGTTGTTGTGATTTCAGATGAAGTCAGGTTTAGTTCACCTCCTCTGGGATCAAGTTCACTTCACTTACAAGAGTTTAACTGCAGTTAAAACAGTTTGTTCTGCCTCTGAAAGCATTTGAAACAGCTGAAACAAACAGCTGAAACAAACAGCTGAAACAAACAGCTGAAACAAACAGCAGAAACAAACAGCTGAAACAAACAGCAGAAACAAACAGCTGAAACAAACAGCTGAAACAAACAGCTGAAACAATCAGCTGAAACAAACAAACAGCAGAAACAAACAGCTGAAACAAACAGCTGAAACAATCAGCTGAAACAAACAGCTGAAACAAACAGCTGAAACAAACAAACAGCAGAAACAAACAGCAGAAACAAAGGGCAGATCAGCTGCATTTCTTCTACAAATATTCAGTTTTATGTGAGAACTTGAGGTCAAAGAGAAGAAGTAAAGCAGCTGACAGACATGTTTAATGTCAGCCCAGTCTTACCTCGAGGCGTCTCTCACATCCAGCTCTGACTGAGTCTCTGYGTTTTCTGTGAGGCTTCTTCTCACCAGCTGATCTTGTGACGATGAGGAATGTGGYAGAATGTTTCTGCAGCAGAAGTATTTTTCTCTTGAACACGAGTGTTTCCTGTAGCTGTCAGTGTTSCCAGGCTCTGAGCTTCATTCACAGCAACAGGAAGAACCTGGAAAATCAAAGCCAACTAGTTTTTCTGCCTGAGGTCATGAGCTGGTGTTCATCAGCTGCTAATAATCTGAGATAATAAACTACAACACACTGCCTGGCCAGAAAACACACTCTACACCTGGGTGTCACTCAGGTGTGGGGCTGCTGCAGGTCAGGTCTATAATTCATGGGGCTCTTATTGTGAAAGATTGGTTCAGGAAGCATGAGACATCTTTTCCACAKATGGGTTGGCTCCACAGAGGGTCTTTCCTAACCCTACTCCCTCCTCACTCAGTTTGCGCGTTCCCGCGGAGGGTTGGCCATATTAAGTCCCATCTGAAACCAATTAGAGACGAGAGCGAGGGGCTTATCAAGCCCTCCACAGAGAGTCTGCATCAGACCTGAGCAGCACCAAATAGTGGAGGTTGGAGCACGGGACGTATAAATATAAGTTCTGCATATGTTTTGGACAGGCAGTGAATAATAAACTATAGTATAATATAATACATACTCCCTGGCTGCCACCTTGTGGTGGTGGAGGGATTTGAGTGTCCCAATGATCCCAGCAGCTGTGTTGTCCCKTGGWAGGGTCACCCAAGGCCAACAGGTCCTGGATGAGGGATGTCAAAGTCAACTTTATTTATAGAGCACTTTAAAAAAACAGCAACCAACTGCACCAAAGTGCTGTACAGCAACCATAAAACAACTGATAAAACATACTGAAGTAAAAACAATAAATCAAATAGACAAGACACACAAAATACAATGTAAACCCTTATAAAAATACCAGAGAGTAAAAATGAGTTTTCAGAAGAGATTTGAAGTGTTCCAGATCATGGACAGATCTAATATTGAATGGTAAGTTGTTCCAGGAGCAGTGTCAGCAAACACCCGGTCTCCCCTGCTTCAGTCTGGTTCTGGGAACGTGTAGAAGCAGTTTATTGTTCATCAGAAGTGATCTAGAAGAGGAAAAGTCATGTAGAAGATCCTTAAGATAGGCTGGGGCCAAGCCATTTAAAGCTTTAAAAACCAATAAAAGAATTTTGAGATCAATGCAGTAAGAAACTGGCAGCCAATGCAGAGAAGCAGTACTGGGATCAGACAAAGTCCAGCCCAAAGGACCCCTGATGGTGGGTAACATCAATGTTCCCTCACCGGGGGTCCATTCTGGAGCCAGGCCTGGAGATGGGGCATGCTGGTGAGTCCAAAGAGGAGATGTGGGTCCACCTTCCCATGGGCTCACCACCTGTGGGAGGGGCCGTAGGGGTCTGGTGCAATGTGTATTGGTTAGTGGTCAAAGGCAAGGACCTTGGCTGTCTGATCCTTGGCTACAGAAGCTGGCTCTAGGTGGAATGTCACCTCTCTGGTGGGGGAGGAGCCTGAACTGGTGTGTGAGGTTGTTGGACTGACCTGTCAGGGTGATGTGCTCATACCGTCCTGTCCAAGTTAACAAACATCTGAACTTAGTACCAGCTGGAGACGGTGCAGCACAGACTGGTCAGGTCCACTATAAAGAGAGCTGCAATGATCCAGTGTGGAGGAAAGAAAAGCATGAAGAAACCTCTGAAGGCTCTCAGGAGGAAGTCGAGCGAGCGTGTGTGTGAGCTGAACCCACACGGTTCAAATTATTGTTCGTTCATAATGATATCTGCTCTCACATCAGAGTTACTGCACTCAAACTGGTGCCACAATAACACCAGACATTCACAGTTCAGAACCAGAACCTGACTGAAAGTCTGTGGTGAGCTCCGAGCTCTGACTGTGTTTAACTTGCCTCTGATTGGTTCATCCTCATGCAGCTCTGCTTGTTTGGACCGGTCTGCTTGTTGGCTTTGAATCAAGGCCTGTTTTGTTGGAACATCTGTGGAACCTGAAGTGGGTGAGTGGACTGGTTTGTTCAGATGTTTCAGGTTGAAATGGAACTTTGATCCAGCAGGTCGTGTTCTGACTCATCTGACTGCTTCATGTTTACAGACTTTATTACAGAAATGATCTAAATGGGTATGAGTGGAACTGCTCTGAACTGGTTTAAGTCTTATTTAAGCCATAGGTTCTTCTGTGTATCAGTTGGTAACAGTTCTTCTGAAGTGGTAAAACTTACTTGTGGCGTTCCTCAGGGTTCCATTCTTGGCCCACTGCTATTTTCTATTTACATGCTGGCTCTGGGTCAAATTCTTCACAAATATAATGTCTCTTTTCATTTTTATGCAGATGATGCTCAGATATATTTATCTATTGATACTTCTGATCTGTCTGCTCTAAACATCCTAAATTCTTGTCTCACCGATATTAAGGTCTGGATGTCCGATAATTATTTATTGTTAAACGATAATAAAACTGAGGTGCTGGTTTTGGGCCCTAAGGCTCATAGAGACCCTATAATTAAAGTTCTTAATTCTTCAGGTTTTAATTGCTCTCATGAGGCCAGAAACCTTGGGGTAGTTCTGGATTCAGATCTGAGTTTTACTAAACATTTTAATAATAGTTTTAAAACTGGCTACTATCACATCAGAAATATTGCCAAATTAAGATCAATTATCTCATTTGCAGATACTAAATCACTCATTCATGCTTTTATTTTTTGTCATCTTGATTACTGTAATTCTCTGTTTATTGGTCTGCCTAAAAAAAACTCAAACGCCTACAATTAGTACAAAACACAGCAGCTAGAGTCCTCACTACATCCCAGAGGTTTGATCATATCACTCCTGTTCTGGCTTCTCTACACTGGTTACCTGTGGTTTCAGGGTTGATTTATGATTGCATTGATAGTTTTTAAATCACTGAATGGACTTGCACCGTCTTATATTTCAGAATTACTCACACCACATACACCAGTGTGACCTGTGAGATCATCAGATCAGTCACTACTTATAGTACCAGAGTCAGACCACACACAGAGGGTTTCTGTTYGGGCTCCTGTTTTARYMAAWGCACTGRCACTTTATATCAGACAAACTTCTTCATTGTCCTCTTTTAAATCTCTTTTAGAAACATTTTATTATGAGTTGGCTTTTAATTGTTGACCTTTGCATGTTTTATTTTTATTGGGTGCTATGTTTCTCATGTGTTTTGATTCTATTATATGATGTAAAACACTTTGTAACTGAGTTTTGAAAAGTGCTATACAAATAAATATCCTATCATCTATCTATCTATCTATCTATCTATCTATCTCTCTCTCTCTCTCTCTCTCTCTCTCTCTCTCTCTCTCTCTCTCTC